TGTTTTTCTTGTATCCAAGGCAACCAGTGAACAAAACTTGTTGACTGATCGTCTTGGACTTGCATAAAATCAAAAGATGTCTACTAGGCAGGTGTCGAAGTGAAATGGTTTAAGAAACATTTTCAAGAAATAATATAGTGATTTAGTTGTATATGTGTTAGAAATATGAAAAACAAATTTTCTTACAATTACGTAGTATTTGTAAGTATGTATTTTATTTATTAGGTGTAAATCTGTCAGTTTTGGATTTACCAATTTGTGAAACATGACGCCATAGTCATTTGATTTTAGCTTTAAATTTTAATACGAAATATTGATATAGGTTTAGTCGTAACCGTGAACAAATATGATTTGATACAATTTTTTATAAATTAACAATTTTTGCATAAGTTAAATATACTAGATGAACTTGATTACTAAATACCTGTGGATAAATTAATGTTATTAAGACATTTTTACATTTAAAATGTTTCTTTCTTTGTACTTATCATCCAAGCATTTATTTTTTTGCTAATTTAATTTCTATTAGTATTATTATTGCTTGCTATAAATTAAAATTTTTCGTTTTTTAATTTATCAACCTGTTAATTATAATTCTTAAGAAACACTAAATAACTCATTAACAATCAAAGATTAGGATTATTAAAAATTATAAGCAGGGTTATAAGTCATATAGGGTTTTCCAAAACTAATTTATTCTTATTTGTATCATTTTATGTTTATATAATAAATATGTTATTTATATTTACTTCTTTGGTAAATATCAAATGAAGTTTGCAGAACCTTTGGTGAAAATTGTTGAACATTTTTTAAAAATTTGTGACTCTGGCCTTTTTTTATTCCCCACAGCTCTTACAGAAAAATGAGAAGACAAATGTTATAAATTTTTGCTATTATAAACCTCGACATCTTGCGCGATAGTGTCCATGGGACCATTCAAATTGTATCACTGGTTTTTAAGATACAGGGTGTTAAACTTAAGAGATTTCACTTATTTATTCCAGGAGCAAGCTAGTAAATTCTAATTTTTTGTGGCTAATTTTATTATAACATATTTTGGCATTCTACGAATATAAAAAGTGGTAAAAAATATTTTCTTCTACATGGTGAGTCGCAAAAAAGTAAGGATATGTTTTTGATAATTATATTGTTCTAGGATGTGAAAATATTTATTAAAAAATAACTCACTTCTAGACAATTTTCAAAGATTAAACAAAGTATTTTATGGACTATATACACAGGGTGATTAGTAAATGCCGACAACGTAGACAAATTCAGAATTTACTAAATATAATAATAGTTATTTAATATATTATTTCTTCACTGCAACACTAAAATTGTAATTTTTGAGCTACAGGGTGTTGAAATTGAGAAATGCCAATTCCCCTTTTTCTATTCTAGGTGAAAAATATATAAGTATTTATTTTTAATATAACATTTTTTGACATTCTACGAATATACATAGGGATCAAAAACTATTTTTCTCTACAGGGTGAATCGCAAATAAGTATTTTTGATAAATACTTTTATTGTTCTTGAGGTAAAAATATTTACTAAAAAATACATTTTTACTAGATTTTCCATTTTTAAAGATATAAACAAATTGTTTAACCTGCCATATATACAGGGTGATTAGTAAATACTGACCTAAACCAAAATGTTTTTTCATAATTAATAAGTGTTTTTACTTGACTTTTGTGTATTGGTAATATATTTAACATGCGTTATCAAATGTGTCAATCAACCTGTACTTTTTGATTATTCCTATAAAGGTATCTATACAGGGTGTACCAATAAAAATTGCCAGGCCGGATATTTTGGTAAGTAATAGAGATATTTTAATTCTGTAAAAGACAGTTCATAGAGTGCTAAGAGAGCTTCAGTTTTAGGTATAAATTGATCTTAAATAGGTCAATATGTAGATGGCGTTGCGTCTAATTATTTTTTTTTTCGATAGGAGGATCTTTCTTGTGTAAGCAGATTTTGTTTTATGATCTAATTCGATAAATCTAGCCATTTTTGATATACAGAGTGTGGGTCACTGAAAACAGTTTCATTCTGTTTTTGAGCATTAATCATTGGATTTTAAGAAAATGCTAAAACAGGTCGATTTTTATTTCAAATTAAAAGCATTTTTACAATACAGACATCTGCAATATGTCAACCCCCTCCCCCGCACTTCTCCATTACCTTAATTTTTAAATAGGTAATATGCCATGGACGGCACATCATTGAAAAGGTAATTTTATGGGAAAGTCAGAAATATGACTTTTTATTGCTATACTTTTAATTTTAGCGCCCTCTAACAGGATAAAAATACCTGTAACGTATTTTAAAGTGTGACACTTCATTTGAAAGCAAATTTAATTACTAATTCAATGCACGACACAACATTAATATAAATATTTATATTGCACTTGCTACAAAATAAAGTTTAAAATAACTACCCTTGAGGTACCCCCTCACTAACAAAAAAAAGAATCATAGAAATCGGACAAGGTGGTAAAGAATTATCGCTGAACATACATAAAAAAAATAAACCGACGAATCGGGAACCTCCTCCTTTTTTGAAAAAATATAAATATGCTGCAAAATTATGTCATACTTATACGAAGAGGTCTTAGTTTCAATATTCAATATTTTAACAGAGTACAAAATAGCATATCAATTAAAACATACAATAAATCAAATGTATCTGCTATTTAATAGACCAAACAAAATTTTAACCTTTATTGTAATTCTTTTGAAAATATGTCAAATTTCACGGAGATAGCCGTCAGAGTTATTTTTGATATTTTTTTTGAAAGCAAGAACTGTTCATAAACTCTAAATTTGCGTAAGAATAATTAAAAAAAGTCTCATATAAAAATAAATAATCACAAATATTTTTATTTCTCGTCTTTATACAGGGTGTTTCAGAATAAAGTACCATAAACTGGGATCTGTAGATCTTAACTAATTATTAAGAGAAGCTAAATGTAATTTTCCTGTAAACGTACTAGTTTTTATTCTACAGGGTGATAAAACGATTTTAATAAATACATAATTATTTTCTAAATATATCTTTCCTTACGGTAAAGACTTTAACTTAAAAATATATATATGATAGTTAACACACTCTATTTCGAGAAATTACAAAAATGCATTGGCGTAGAATCAAGGGCTAAGAAATCAATTTTAATCCAAACTTTTTGAACACCCTACATTTGATAAAAGTTGAGATTTATAATTATTTGTCTAGCAAAATGGTTACAAAAAAGTGACTTTTAGTTGATCTTTGTAGAACATTCTATTTTCTTGATTTTTCAGTTTTAGTCCTACTCAAACATGAAATTTATGTATATTATGAAATTTAAAATATGCAAATTTTTATTAAGGATTGATTTCATAATCTATAATAAAAGGTCCATTGACTGATAGGGCCATTGAGTCCATAATATCTTGGTCCCATTAGATAATGGACCTTTTAATGTTCATTATGAAATTGCACCTTGTAAAATTGTACATAGATTTCATGTTTGAAAAGGACTAAAACTGAAAAATCATGGTAATGGAATGTTCTATAGAGATTAACCAAAAGTTCTTTTTTTGTGAGACATTTCGCGAAGAATAATTATTAATTTTAACTTTTATTAAATAAAGGGTGTCCAAATAGTTAGGATTAAAATTGTTTTTTAACCCTTGATTCTACTTCAATGGGTTATCGTAATTTATCGAAATAAAGTATATTAACTAATCATAACGATTAACTAACATACATATTTTTAAGTTAAAATATTTACCATAAATGAAGATACTTAGAAAATCATGTATTTATGAAATTCACTTTTATCACCCTGTAGAGTGAAAACTGGGGCGTTTACAGGAAAATTATATTGGACTTTTCTTATTAATTAGTTAAGATCTACACAAGTCCCACAGTTAACAGAAATTTATTCGGAAACACCTTGTATTTATTTTCTCTTTTCTCCCACTCGATTTCGAAGCTTTCGATGCTTTCTGTTCTTTCATGCTCTTTTGTGCTATTTCATTTCATCTTTTTTTAACACTTTATTCGACTCTCTCAAATTTTAGTTATTATTAAAAAAAAAAAACAACAACTTTGTAAATATCAAATCGTGGGATTACAAGCTAAAGGCACTAAGTCAAAAGTTTGTCAAAATGGGTTTATATTTTGTATATCATCTAAAAACAGTACAATATATTACGAAAGCATGTACTTTTTCTGTGAAGCAGTTGATAAATATGATTGAGTTATAATACATGACACTAGCCTAATTTTTAATGAAGACTTCAAATCTGTAATCTAAATTTCTGTATTAGCTCTAGTTTAGAAAATATGACATATGGCCGTTTCATATTAAAACACATTTTTTTCAAGTGAAAAAAACTTTCTTTTATAAGGCTTCTTTGCAGAGGTTGAACCCATTGAACTGTTCGGAATGCTCCAACAATAGTCAGCCATCATGTGTGCGTTCCAGTAGCCTTTATACCGTTCCTCCATCGTACGAAGGTCCTGGTGGGTTTATTACGTTTGGTTGTCCTGGAACTAGATCTTTCCAAGTAGGCCAATCCTTTTTAACCCAATGTTGATTTTTAGCTTTACTATCCTACAAGCAAAGAAAAAAAGGATACTTTGTATGACCACCTTGCTGGCCTAATAGAAAGTTGACCATTTTTAAATCAACACATATGATCCAATTATTTTTCACATATTTAATTTTGTCCAAAACCAGAGCAATAGTTGTATATTTTTCTTTTACTTTTGTAGAATGTGCAATAGGCAACGACTCTAATTTATTCCCATTGTGTAAGAGAACACATTTTAGACTTCGTTTTGATGAGTCTATGAATAAACGCCACTCACTAGAAAAATAATTTTGTAATTCCATTGCAGCCATCAATCCAGGTACATCTTTACAAAATACGAAATTGTCTTCTTTAACAAAATATTTGAGGAAATTCTGTTGTGCGGTAATAAGAAATTTAAGTTTCTTTCGTTAAGCTGACTTTGACAGTCCAAGATCTCTAATTAAGTCGTTTAAATCATCTTGATTGAATGGTTTTGGCGTTCCCAGGTCGTATTCGAAGTCACTATCACTACTGTCGTTTTTCGTCCCAAAATCTTCTGGCTCTTCCTGTAAAGTACCAGATTGAGGTTTAAGTGTAGACTTAGGGCTCAGGACACGTCTATGTGTCGATTGTATGGAAGGATATTCCAATTTGGCTCGATTTTTTTCGGTTAATACCAGTTATGTTCACCAAACAAAAATAACAATTGTCATGGTAATTCATGGGTTCATTCCAAATCATAGCGGTTTTGAACCTGAAGCTATGTCTTTTCTTATTTGTCCATAATCGTAGGAACTCAACGCATGTTTTGCATACCTTTTGCGGAATCCAAGGCTTATTTATCATTTCCAGCGGGTGCCCAAAGTAATTTTTGTAAGTCTCATTTACGAACGTTTTCACATTTAAACGGTATTCTTTAAATACATACTCTCCACAAATGAAACAAAAATTGTTTGAATCATTCACACATACTCTTCTTGACAATGCCATATCAAATTACAAAATAAAACAATAATTCAAACAAAAAAGATAATTTCACTATTGTCTTACTAAACCTTCCCCTAAAATAACAAAAGATCATTTCTTAAAAATTCTGAAATTGCGTTTTATCGGTCATTAAAGAGAGGTCCTTTATAAGTATGTTCTAAGAAACTACAGGGGGTGTGCGCGGTCGTACAACAGAGGGGTCGTTAAAGAGGATTATAAATTAATGGTATTTCCAAATAAAATTAAATATGTATATTAATTCAATAATTATTATTAAATAAACTGCAAATAAACACTATAATACAGAGAATTTTTAGTGAAAGCTATAACTCGTAAACAAGAACTGTAGTGGGGGTATATTTAGAATCAGCCACCTAAAATTAGTAAACATCATGTGAAATAAGTCATTCATCAGTCAGAAAGTGTAATTTTGTAGGCCTGTATAATCCCTAAATAATTTGTAAAAAAATTAGAACTTTATTGACACTTTAAATTGCTTATAACTCATAAAATTATTTTTTGACTTAATACCTTTTACTTTTTATTTCAAGCCCACGAAATAATAATAATCTTTCCAAAATAATCCTCTAACAAATTTCAGCCAACTGATCATTCAAAATCCCTTCTGAAGGTCATTTTCTATCTGATAATTTAAAAATGTACCAAAAAAAAAACACTCGATGTCCTGATTTTGATTTTCAGGGTGCAATTTTCACAAATATAATTTTCTTGACTAATTTTCCATATTAACATATTAACCATCCCAAAATTATAGCTTTTTTACTATAATACATTTTTGAAATACAGGGTGTTACATTTAAGAAATGTCCCATTTTTTTAGCGTATTCCGGAAAAGCTAATAAATTCAAATTTGTTGTGGCTAATTTTATTGTAACATTGGCACTCCATTAATATAAACGCGATAATAAAATATTTTGCTCTACAGGGTGAGTCGAGGGTTAAACCACTGAGGCTATAAGTGTACAAAAAAAAAAGGATTTACGAGGATGTATGAGGATTTAACGAGAATGTACGAGGGTTTATAAGGATGTACAAGGGTTTATAAGAGGGTGTATAAGAATTTCTCGAGGATATGATTATTTCTCAAGGATGTTTACGGATATAAAAATATTTTACATAAATTTATATGCCACAAAACTGTCACTAATTGTAAATAGCATAGAAATAAAATATTGTTTATGTAATTACTAAGTATCACAAATTAGGATATACTCCTACATAAGATTTAATTTCACCAAATAACTGATGAAAACTTAAAAACTGAACAAAAAAAATAGAGAATAATTGCACAAAAAGATGCCTAGTCTTTTTAGGTTCCATTATAAAATATCTTACTAATTGTGGTTTTTCTTTTCAGCCAATATCCGTAAATAAAAATTGAAATCGCCGAAAATTTCTCGAGTCAAACGGTAGCACGATATTAATGGCCTGAGCTCATGTTCATTTCAACTCTGACAATAAAGACTTTTGTTCTTAGAATGTATGTCTTTTGATTTACCTTCCAGGATCAAATGGACAAGGCTGCAGATATACTATCCGGAGATACATCTACGTATCAAAGGGTTGATATAGAATTAAACATGATACGATGATCATTAATGTCGTCGGGTATAGAAGATTTTCCGGACGCGTTATTATTGGAAAAATCTACTGTAAATAATGGATAATAGGAAAGTGGAAAGAAATACTGAACCGATAAATGGCACGGAGAGTGAAGGAGGATAAACGGCTTCAAATGGTGAGTCTTTTTTGTAAATAAGTTGTTACAAAATATCTATTTTAAATCTGCATCTTAGAGGGAACTAATCGTATCTTCAGTTTTATACTAAGTGGATTGTATTCACTAAAATACCTGAAGCTTTTATTTTATGTGGTTGAAAATTGTATTTTTATACCTTAGTATTAATTTTTGATGTAGTTCGTATTCGCTCAGTGCGAAGTCATGGTAGGGGAAGCAAAAGCGATACCAGCGCTAGCTGCGGATAATTCGTGTATTTTAGGGCGAAATGCATGCCAAATTTCATATAGAAATATTCAAAAATAGGCCTGGAAACTTGGAATTACTTTTTAAGTCAATTTTATTACATGGGTGTAAATATGGGCGCGAGCTTGTAAAATAGTAGGCTCGGTGCTGATATATTATCTCGCTTATGACAATCGACAGAATGAAATTTGATATTGTAAGGAACAAGAAAAAAAATCCCATAAGCCGTTTAACTGTTGTGTTTTTTTTTTTCGTTTTCTGGCAAACGGTTTATGGTGTTTGAACCATATGACTTTGATGATGATGGCTAACGATCATAAAAAAATCTCATAAGCTTTGCATGACTTTAAAAAAGCCATAAGTTGTTAAGTTGTTGGAAAATTTATGGAAAATTTCGAATAATCGTCTTTCGAATAATTGGTCTTTTGTATAATTGATAGTTTGAATAATTTACCTTTCGAATAATTTATCTTTCGAACAACTGACTTTCGAATAATAGGTTTCAAATAATTGATTTCAAACAATTTACCACCTACTGTTAAGGATCACCCTTAAATTCAATATTACCTTTAAAGACAGTAAATCCTAATATTTACTTGATTTTGACGTTTCCTCTACCAGTTAATATTACTACATTACTATATAAAATATCCCTTCGACATGTACTTGGCAATTACCACCCTTACACCGCAGCAGTGTCCCTATAACCAAATTATCAACTCCAATATAATATCTATCGTGTAACCCAATAGTTTTCTCATTCGTAACACTCGCGTTTCTGCACATAACATAATTACCGCTGCCAGAAATGGAAAATAATGGTAATAAAAATCAATGTGATCCGAACTAAAATTGACATGACGTCATGTATATGACCTTTTACATGTGCAAGACCATCTGTCAAGTCGCGTCTCGACACCCCTATCAACCCCCTATTAGCCGGGGGCTAATGGTCTTCTAGCCGATGCACCAGCTTGTTAGGGGTGTCAATTTCAATTTGATTATTATATTCTTTATGTAAAGAATTGTATTAATATTTAAATATGAAATGTCAAGTGTAATTTATATCTTATGTTTTTTTTGTATGTATGTTATTAACAATGCTTGCTACTTTTTAAATTAATTAAAAGTGGACGTATAATAAGAGTATAATACACTTTTTTTACTTTCTTTCCACACTAGTTTAACGAGCAAGGAATTGTATTCAATTCCTACGTATGATAATTATAGCATGAGCCGCATGCAAATTCTGTACGTACGGTGTATTTTTACAGTGAATTTAGTATATGTTCCTTCTATTTTAAAAAATTATCCATAAGGTTACTTAAGAATTTTGTATATTTAGAAACCTCGACGTAATATTATTGCAAAAATATTCTGGTCGGTTTTTCTTTTCTGCTTTTATCTGCATTGAAAACAACAATGTTAGTTTTATTTGCATTTAAGATGAATTGATTTTGTTTAAACCATTGTTCTGTTCTATTAAAAAAGGTCTTTTCCCCGTTATAAAGGTTTTTTCTTCTCTAATATGCTTATTAACACATTTGTAAATCCCAGGAAGATAAAGAATGGCAGTAGCAACTTTCAGTCTATGTACTCTACTACAAAAGACCGAATTGGACAAGGTATTTTAAACAACAATTAAAGGGTACCCACAATATGAAAAGGTCGAGGTGGGGGAGGCCACATAGCCCACAGTCCTTATTAAATCTAATCTAACTCATTTGTATTATCAACGACATTTACAATACTTTTATGCCTAGTCTAATTATGTTGGATAAATCATTTAAATAAATTACGAATAATATAAATGCTATTATATTTTCTTGAGATATGCTAGTTTTATTTGTTAATATCTGTAGTTGATTTTAAACTAGCCCCTATTTTTTTGTTTTGTCTCTAATTCCATTGAAATCGAGTTATCTCTATGCCTTTGATAAGCCCAGGAACATTGCTAATGCCAAATTATTGTTTTCTATTATATCTAAAATATCTGTAGTAAACTGAAAAATACAAGGGTGGGTCCAGGCCGAATAGTATGGAAAGAAGGGGTTGGGGTATTGCCGATAACAATTCCCTCTTTAGCTTATTTTTGTAATAAAAGCCACAAAGATTGTAAGAATTTTAACCCCCCTGAGCCTCCATTGGAGCCGCCCTTGGAAAAATAACTGTTTGTTTAAATCTATTTTTTAAGCAACCATGAGGAGTTTTAGTAAAAAATTTATTTTGATTTAGGAAATTAATTAGTTTAGAAAATATTATAGATAATTCAAAAATTTTAGGGAAACTGAATAACAAACTATTTATGTTTGGGATCACCACTTTATAAAGAGGTTTAAAGGGTGCCTTGCTCCATCTGATTCTAAAATATTTATTTTTCTACACCCACATGGATTATAAGCTGTTCTACCTACAGACTATAAAACGAAAAAGTATGCCACTGCGTTCTAATGAACGAATATATTTCATATACAATCTACCTAGTAAGAACAATGAACAAATATGGAATCCACCAATCACTTTTCATATTTGGTTACCAGACAACTATTATTTGTTTATTTTTGTGTTTATTGCTAGTAAATATAAAAGAATAAATTAATTTTAATTAGCTTTCATTATACTTGTTAGCTTGACATTATCTACTTATTTTATTTGGGCATAACTGCTGCCGGTATACCATGTGTTCAAATTAAAGTGTTACAGTTAAATACCGCCGAAATACTGAGAGAAAATCCTCTCAGCGACCGTCAATATGCATATCAGCCAGGAAAGTCAACCGATTTGGCCCTGAATGATCTTAACAGGCTATTGTCAAAATCCCTCGAGGATAAAGAAATGGCAGTAGCAACTTTCGTAGATATTGAGGGAGCTTTTAGTAATGCTCAAACAAGATCTATAATTAACGCATTAGCAATAAAAGGGGTACCAGTAGTCCTATGTTAGTGGATAAAAGCCAGCCTAGAAGAAAGGGTAATAACATCATCTCTAGGCGAAGCTA